TTAAGGTTGTCAGCTTAACTGCAAAGATCACCAGAAAGCTACAACTTTTCAGTCAAACTGTGAAGGTAACAGGATCGATAACAGTTCTGTGACTCAACTCATCTTTAAATAGTTTGTATTCCATCTGAGAGTAGACTTGAGACTACATTAAATTCATATGGATGTTTTTGAAATGTAATGTCTGACTTGATTGAAAACTTAGTTAAATCTTAAATGAGGCAAGTGGCTGTTAATTTGAACTCGAAACTGATCGAGAAAGAAATCAAGTATATTAATCAATGTAAAATGTTACAGCATAGAAAGCCTCATAGATGCACACGCTGAGTTTATGCTTTATTTCCTGTCTCGCCATTTTAGTTCAACACTACTTTCAACATATTGCACATTTTTTATTTTAACCTGTATGAATAATTCCCTCTTCTTTATCAACATGCTTAATAGTATTGCTATCCTGGACTCTCAATCCTCTGGGTCCAAATCTTGGAACTCCCCTCTTAACAATACTGTGAGCATACCTACACTACATAAATTGTAGAGGATCAAGGCGACAGCTTACAATCAATGCTTCAAAGGCAATTAGAGACAGGCAGTCAATGCTGGCCGAGTGAGTGACGTTCATATCACATGAATGAAGCAAATAAAACCCTCAGATCCATTCCATCATTTATTGTAGTTGACCTATACTCCAAACTGAACTTAGTGTTCTCTATCCCTTGATACCCTGAGCCCGTAAAAACCTTTTCCAATCTTGAAAATGGCATTGGCCTGGATTTTGAGGAACTGAGTTCCAGATTCTTATTAATACATGTGCAAAATGTTTATTTTCAGTGCAAAATGAAACCTAACTTTAAGACCGTAGTCCCCTCCATTCTGGATTTTGCCCATTAGAGCACAGTATCTCTGAATCTCCCGTAACAAATTCCTGACGAAAATTTAAACACTGAAATTAGATCAACCTTCCATACTCGAGGCAGCAGAAAACAAGCTTATTCGAATTACCACTGCAGTTTCAGCTGTTACATTTTTCATTTCGGCTAATCTGGAGGCAAGTTTTATTGCAAATTTGTAGAAATGTTATATGACACCCCACACGAGCTTTATTCTAAATTAATGCGATTTCATTTCATTTCAGTTCCAGTTAACAGTATACACTCCAGGCATCTCTTGTATTCTCTTTGAGCTTGACTGTTCTTTCTGTTATAGAACCCAGACTAACTGCACTGGGCTCGGCATTTTGTTGTGGTCTCCAAATGACCTTCTTTCTCAACACCACTGGAGCATTCACTCCTGCCCACTTGGGTCTTTGAAGGCTGGCAATTCTGTTTCCCCACAAGCCGGCATTCCTAACTCTTTCCTTCACAGGTTTCCCAGCAGTATGATGGTCGGGAAAGGAATGCGACAGGGTCTGAGGTTTTGAGGACAGAGATCAGGGAAGTGAGCTGGAATGGCATTCCTTCACATCCTTTAAGCTGCCATCCTGCACCCCAAAGAGTACAATCACACACACACCACAAGACCATAAGAAATAAGAACAGAAATAGGCCATTTGGCCCCTCCAGTCTGCTCTGCTAGTCAATAGGATCATAGCTGATTCGACATTCCTCACATCCATTTTCCCGTGTTTTCCCCGTAACCTTTCATTCCCCTGCAGACGAAGAATCTAACTATCTCGGGCTTAAATATACACAAGGTCTCTGTGGCAAGGAATTCCAAAGATTCACACCCTTCTGAAAGAAGAAATTCCCCCACATCTCAATGTTAAATTGGTGTTTGTTTTTTCGGAGGCTGTGCCAGAAGGCCAGTGGCCCTGACACAAATTCCCATGGAATGGTCCTCCTGCAAGATGTGGGAAATCAGGGACACTTCCAGTCCCCATGGTCACCATGTGTGCAGGAAGTGTGTTCAGCTGCAGCTCCTGATTTGCCACCTAGGAACGCCTAGGGTTGCGGATGGGCTCACTATGGAGGATCCATGATGCTGAGGACGTTGTGGATATCACATTTAGCAAGCTGGTCACACCATCAATAAGGGCTACACAGACAAAAAGGCATTGGGTGACCACCAGGAAGATTACTGAGCACGGATAGGCAGTGTAGGTGTCCCCTGTGACCAAGCCCCTCTCAAACAGATGTACTGTACTAAACGCTGTTGGAGGATGGCCTCTCAGGGGAAAGCAGCAACAGCCTAGTAATGAGGAAGGATGTCCTAGAGGCCATCTAGGTACAGCTTAGTAATAAAAAACGGGCAATTACCTTGCTGGGATTATACTACAAGCCTCCCAATAGTAACAGAGGATTTAGAGGAGCAGATAATGTAGGCACATCACAGAAAGGTGAGAGAGAAAAACAGCATTATAGTTGGAGGAGGATTTCAACCTTTGTGACATTAACTGGGATTGCCTTAGCATGAAAGGATTAGAAGGGATAACATTTTCAAAGGGCATCGAGGAGAGCTTTCCAAGTCAGTGCGTATATAGTCCAAATAGAGTTGGGCCAATACTCGACTTAATTCTAGGGAATTAAGCTAGTCAACTGAATTTTTGGTTGAATTTTCAGCGGGAGAGCATTTTGGAGCTAGTGACCATTACTCTGTCAGTTTCAAAGTCATGATGGAAAGCGATAAGGATTGTGCAGAAGTTAAGTGTCCAAACTGGGGGAAGGCCAATTTCAATATCATTAGACAGGATCCAGCAAACAGAGACTGGGAGTAGCTACTCGCAGGTAAGTCTGCATTTCAGAAGTGGGGGTCTTTTAATAGTTGTATAATGAGAATTCGGATCCAGCGTGTTCCTCTAAGTGTGAAGGGTAAGGGTAGCAATCCAGGGAACCCTGGATGTCAAGGGATATTGAAAGTTTGATGAAGAATAAGAAGGAAGCATATGTCAGATATAGCATATTAAAAACAGGGGAAGTCTTCCAAAAGTGTAGGAGGTTGCTTAAAAAATGAAATTAAGAGGGAGGTCAAAGAGGGGCCATGAAATATCTTTGGCATATAGGATCAAGGAAAATCCCAAACCTTTTAAAAGTATATTGAGGGTAAGCAGATCACCAGGAAAGAATGGGACCTGCTAAAGATCACATGGTGAACCCGCGTGTGGAGGCGGTGGACATGGGTGGGGTCTTAAATGAATAATTCTCATCTGTATTCACAGTGGAGGAATACATTGTAGCTGGGGATTTCAGTTCCAAGATAATAAGGTGGAATTGTTATATGTAGTAGCAGAAATGCAGGTGCATAAATCCCCAGGGCCCGATGACACGTATCCCAGGCTGCTATGGAAAGCAAAGGAGGAGATTGCTGGGGCAGTGGTGGAGATATTTAATACCTTACTGATTACAGGCAAAGTGCCAGATGACTAGAGGATAGCTAATGTAATTCCTTGGTTCAAGAACAGCAGTAGGGATAAGCCAAGTAATTACAGACCAGTTGTGCAGTATGACTCTAAGGTACAAAATTCTTTCAACTTGTGCTACTCACTTGAAAATCAACTTTCCAACCCAACTCTGTGGCTAAAAATGCTTCTGCAGCTCTTGATGGCTTTCTTCACCACCACCAGAAAGGAAGAAGAATGCTAAAGTAGTCAACGCGATGGCGTGGTGGCACAGTGGTTAGCACTGCTGCCTCACAGCGCCAGGGATCCAGGTTCAATTACAGCTTTGGGTGCCTGTCTGTGTAGATTGCCAGGTTTTGTTTGAAAGAGGCTACATCAAGGTGGCTTGGAAGGGAAAAAAAGCAGGAAACAGGGTTTCATGTTGTCCCTGGTCCCTAGGATCTGAAAAATGTATTTTAAAATCAGGTAAGATGTCAGGACGTCAAGGCAGTCTCCATTCTCCTGCATTCCTTCCACAAAAAAATATAAGCTGCAGCCGTGACAAGGGTCAGGTCACCAAGCCTCAGGTCCCCACTGCCATCTGGAACACAAACCCAAAGTCTCGGAACACTTCTGAAGGAAAGAGGCAAAATATAATCGATTCTTTTCTCTGTATCCTTGCAAACCCTTCCCAAAATGCAGTTGGGCTCCAGCATTGGATCACTCAAACTGTAGACCCTGTGTACTTCCCAAAGCCCTAGATTTTTAAAAATTTAATTCACCCAAATCCTTCTGATGCATACTTTTACTTGTTTCCAAGTTCCCAGGATTGTCACATCAATGCTTCCAAATTCAACAACTTTGACAATGCTGTCTTCAGTCTGCCTCTACTAAGCCACAACTCCTCCATTGCTGTGACTCAATGCATCCAAGCCATTTCTTCGCATCACAATTGCTTGTAGTGTAAACATTTGCAACAGTAAACTCCCCATGAAAACGCTCCCAGACACAAGAAACCCACTCAGTCTGCTTTCTGGCGAGCAGATCTCCCACACTCAGTGCTTATAAACCCTGAGATACATCTTAATCCCTCAAGACCCCAGAGAACCATCTACAGCAGGCTGTGCAAACACGACCCCAAGTTGTGATTCTCTCGATCACGTTTTCACTGGCTGAGACCACTGTTCACTCCCAGAACATCACTCAGTACCTTTATATTCAGGAACTGCTTTCTCATTAATTCCAGACCCAAGGATTTCCCTTTCCCAATGCTGCTAGATCATGACCTACTCTGCTCAAAGAGGTGCATGCAAGATCTAAAACTTTAGGTAAACCAAAGTAACAAGCTGTATTTTCACTTTAACATAGTTAACCATCAGGAGGAGTTTCATACAAGTGTTATCAAACAAAATTTAACATCAAGCCTTCTGAGGAGATATTAGCTTATTCAAAGAGTTAAGTTTCAAGAAGGCTATTAAAGGAGGAGAGACAGACCCAGATAAATTTATGGAATATATTCTAACTGTTAAGGATCAAGCAGTTAAACACACAGCCATCAATAATGGCGAGATTAAAATCAGGGATGCACAAGAGGCCAGAAACTGGAAGAACACAGAGATTTCGTTGTAAACCTGAGTGAGTTTACAGAGGTAACAGGAGCAAAGCCATGGACGGATGCTTCATATCATTTTCCCGTTGTGCTTGTTTTACTTGATGCAAGAACTGTTAAAGTTGTAGAATGCTGTCAATGTTTCCCCACATACATTTTCACTAACCCAGTGCGTTATTTCATCAGTGAGCATCTAAAATGAAAGTGCAAATCAGGCTAAATTTCTGAGAATGAATGGTTAACAAAGTAACATTTTGTGAGGACCTTGCTTATAAATATTTCAGAAAGGTGGTCAATTTCATTTTTAAACACCTTTAGGTTACAATAATTTAAACGCTATTTTGCATCAATCTAAATCATTAGATTGGCACAATTTGAGTGCTTTTTTTGCAAAACAATTTCAATTTCCTAGTCCTGTTAGAAAACTATTAAAAATATATTCAAGTTCTAAATTTCCTGCCAGTACACTGCTCTGCTAGTCGGGAGGGGACTAAAGAGTGATCCATAATTTATATGACACAACACTAACTCTTTCAACTATAGGAAGACTCTTTAAATAATTCTGAAATAAAAAATTGGGGTGGGAATGAGGGAAGAGAATTCTGCAAAATTTGTAACATTGAACAGATTAGGGCTCTTTTCTCTGGAAAGAAAAGGATTGAGGTGTTATCTGTTAGAGAACTCAAAGATTATGAAAGGGTTTGACAGGTTAGATGTAGAGGAGTTGTTTTCACTTGCGGGGGAAATCAAAGTGAGGAGCCATAAATCTAAGATAGTCACTAATAAATCAAACAGGGAATTCAGGAGAAACTTCTTTACACACAGAGTGTGATTAGAATGTGAAATTCTTTTAACATAAGCAGTGGTGCAGAATCAGAGAATTGTTACAGTGCAGAGGCCATTCAGCCCAGTGTGTCTGACCCAGCTCTCAGAAAGAGCAATTCATTTCATGCCAGATGCCATCATCATGCACGTTCTTCCTTTTCTGATAACAATCTAATTTCCCTTTGAATGTTTCTATGCATTCCAGACCTTAACCACTCACTACATGAAAAAGATTTATCTCGTTTTGCTTTTTGTTAGCTGAGACAGATAGCATAGATAAATTTAAGGAGATGCTACGAAAGCATGAGGGAGAAAATAGTGCCAGGTTAAGCTTTATACGTATAGATGAAGTGGGAAAATTGCTACAGACCAGCTGGGTGACATGGTGTAATTCTGTTCTGTACATTCTATGTTAAAATGGTGCCATGAATAAACAGGGTTAATTGAATAATTTTGCTCCAGGAGAAATTAAAACATGCACAGGTACATGTGCAACTCTGGTCAAGGAAGAGGCTATTTAACATGTGGAGTGTTTCAATAGGCAAACTGCACGATTCAGTTATGATTCCAGCAAATAAGTGTGAGATGAATTCATTGCTACACACATGACTGAATAGTGTATGAAATATCTGGTGGATAGAGCATACGACAACATAGCTACAAATAGAAAAACAATCTTTTTTTTAAAGAAAGCTATGCTGTCAAAATTAGATGAAGAGCATGTAAAATGTTATACTTAATAAGTCTGAAACTAGAAATCAAATTTGCTAAACATCGTGCGTTTGGTTTGAATCTGAAAGTTTTGGTGACAAAAAAATCAAAACAACCATTTTTATGTTTTTGTCCATTTTCCAGTTATCAAGTTATATTTACTTCAGTTTCTCATGATAAAATCTAAAGCTTCAAACCTACTTATAGCAGCATTCTAAATATTTACAATTAAACGAGTAGAACAAAGGTTGAATATCAGTGTGAACTCAGCCAACAGAAACCAACCTGATATTGCAAAAAAAAAACCTATTCCAGAATCTATGGAACCATAAATCTCCGGGATAAATTTGAACAATGTTTCTCCCTCCCATCAGGAAATCGTGGAGCACAGACCTTGAACCACTCAGGTTCTTATCACCTGTTACCCTCCGATACCAGCTGCAGCTAGACGATAACCGAGGATGACATCACAGTTCAGTCTGTATGCAAGGTTGTAAACATTTCACACAAAGTTTCACGATAACCACTGTTACTACTCCCTATGGGGAATAGCCTTTGGCAAAGTTTGGGGGCGGGGGGGGGGAACAGGATGAGTAGAGAATCCTTACAGAAGTACTTGAAAATGGTTTTCAGGTGACGAAAGTACAAACAACAAGCAAAATGAGGCTGGAAATTTGAAACAAAAATAGAAAATGCCGTCAGCTGGCACAGTGACTCAGTGGTGAGCACGGCTGCCTCACAGCGCCAGGAACCTGGGTTCGATTCCACCCTCGGGTGACTGTGCAAACTCCACGCAGACATCCTCTCCGTGTCTGCATGGGTTTCCACTGGGTGCTCCGGTTTCCTCCCACAGTCCAAAGCTGTGCAGGCTAGGTGGATTGGCCATGCTAAATTGCCCGTAGTGTTCAGGGATGTGTCGATTAGGTGGGTTATGAGGAATGGTTCCTAGTGGGATGCTCGGAGGGTCGGTGTGGACTTGTCAGGCCAAAGGGCCTGTTTCCACACTGTAGCGATTCTATGATCTATGACCGCTCAGTTGGTTAGGCAACATCTACAGAGAGAAAAGGCGACGTAATACTCCCAAGTACCTGCTCATTTTGATACCCGAAATGTTAATTGGTTTGTACTCTCTACTGTTGCTGCCTCACCTACTCAGAGTTTATCAGACTTTCCACTTTTGTTTCAGTTGGCAAGTATCTCAAGTTCTGACGTGCATCTTCCCAACATACTTGCTAGGATGGTACATTTGTTTTTCTTAACCACAGCAACCAATTTTATCCTCAACTCTTTGCAGGGAAACTAAGGTCACTGAATTTTGCCAGCCAGGGTAAAGTATTTCCACCGCGGAGCAAAACAAGTGGTAATCACCCTTAACTCAGTCCAATTGTAAATTATGCCTGAACCATAGAAAACAATTCAAATCTGAGCAAAGATTAAAACTCATGCCACAGAACAAAGGTCGGAGCAAGGGATCGATGTAAGAGGAAAGAAAGAAGGCTTATTAGTGAACTATTACAGAGGATTCAGATATGTGCAATATTTATTTTATTATATTTCACCTTGCACCAGAAATGATAAAGAGTGTGGTGATTTGAAAGGGAGGCTCTTGAAAAATAATGAGGGAGCTGATTATCTTAGTTTCAGTGGCCAAGATTGCAGCTAGCAGGAAGACAAGTTGACAGAAAGACTGGAGTGGTCTTTAAATGCTTCAACACATCCCACTTGCTGCAGTGATTCGGGGAGTTCACAACTTCATGAGCATGGATAGAAGACAAGGATAACATCACTAACAGACAGGAATTCAGTCTCTGGGACTCAATATAACCACAATATTAGTCACCGGCAGGGGTGCTGGAGAGACTGAGATTCACTATGAAGGTTTCTTAGGAACCGAAATCTTATAAATAAGCCTGAGAAAGAGGAGAGAATCTGAAGTATCTTTTGTAAAACAAAATCCCTGTAAATAAACAAAGTGGCCCACCTCTATTGGAGTAAATCTGTTTCAATCCTCATAACTAATTTGCAGATCCAACTCCTGTGAGGTCTATTACTAAAAGCTGCTCTTCCTCATTCTCAATCATATCATATTGGACATTAAAAATCAGAAGTTCTCTGAGCTGATCTGTAATTTCACTAATCTATAGAGACAGTGCATTTTGTCTTATAAAATGCATAAAAAAACTAATTTCTAATGAGGTATAAGACCTATCTAGAAATAAGCCTTTTTTTCCCAATGCTTAAAGGCCTGCTCATTTTAGCTGTCGAGCAAATAAGTGGCTTTGAATTACTGAAGAACTATAAACAGGCCTTCCAGACACTTGGTTCCACTACGAATGCAAAGCCTTTAAACCTGATAGAAATAGCCCCACTTCAATCACAAAGCATTAGCAGCTTTTTTTTTTACAACAGTAATATCACATCTTCCTCAAACTGCCAGTCAGAAGCAGAAATCAATTTACTTATTGCAACTTGAAGTAACCATTATCATGGTCTATTGCTTTCTCTGAAGTAGTCATGGCAGTACAAGATTCAAGTGAGCAAAGAACAAAAAAGGCCCTCAGGTAACTTCGACATTAGCAACAAGACAGTTAAATGAGCTCTGAAGAGTCAAAAACCTCTCAGCTCGTGATAACAAGCAATAATTAATTTATCTGAATACAGCTCAAGAGACCTCGTACAGCTTGAACTCTTGTACACAAGCCAAAGCCATTTCTCACACCGTGCTTTGACATTGTCTAACAAGAGTCAAATAGGATACATCTTTCATGTGTATATCACTTTGAGAGAAAATGCAATGAAAAGAGTACCCTTTCCCATCAGATGACCCAAGTACTCACAGTGCTAAGTTTACTGGAGGTAACGATAATACGTCGTTCATGCAGCATACTGGCATAAAGTTGCAACATGTTGTTGACATCCACAGCAACAAAATATTCAGTCATATTTCTCTGTATCATGTAAATGAGAAATTGTAAGCAAATCGTGCAAATAAAGACAGTCCTGCTTCATTTCAATATGTTGTTGTTTGAGTTATAATATCTGCAACTCTGTTTTCACAGTGTTTAGATTTAATACTGTTCAACGTCTATAAAATTACCCAAATAACATTTATTTCATTATTTTTCTTCAAGAGAAATGGCTCCAAAAGTGTTATTTATCAATCGATACAAAATTATTCACTTAGCCTCCATTTTTTATTGAAACAGGAAAACATTGAAAATGCACACTTACATTTCCAGATGCTGAAAATATTGTAAAAAATTATGGCGTGTCAGTCATTATAGAAAATTGGAATTAGAGGCATTTGTGCACCAACTGCTGAAAAGCACCAAAATTGTCACTCCTGCTTTCATCCAGAAATTATGATTCTTTGGAGCTCCAAAGTGACCAGCAACTCTCTTCAATTCCATGGTTGACCCTGACAGCAAGCCTTGGCAGCTAACTTAAATCACACATTGGTAGTAACACAGAAGGAGGCTATCCTGGCCATCACATCTGTGATGGTCCTCTGAAGGAGCAATTCACTGAATGCCCAATCCCTTGCTTTTCCCCCATAACTGTGCAATACTTCTTTCCAAATAGTAATCTGACTCTCTTTCAATGCCTCAGCTGAACCTACTTCCACACACTCGCTGGCAGTACATTCCAGGTGCACTGTGAGAAACAGTTTTGCCTTGTGTCACTCTTGCTTCTTTTGTCAATTACATATGCCCCCCTGGTTCTTGATTATTTCATTAATGGGAATAGTTTCTCTCAACTTATCTGAACAGATCCCCCCATTATTGCGACTATCACTAACAACTTTCCCTTCAAACTTCTCTTCACAAAGTAAAACCATTCAATCTTTCCAATCTATCTTCACAAATAAAGATCCTCAGCTTTGGAGCATTTGCACAAATCTTTTCTGCATCTTTTCAAATGCCTTCATATCCTCCCTCAAGTATGGAGCTTAGAACTGTGTACAATGCTCCAGTTGAGGCTGAACCAGTCTTTGACACCGGATTTATACAACTTCCTCGCTTTTGTTTTCAATGCATCTACTGACAAAGCAGGATGCTATAAACTTAATTAACCGGACGTTCAATCTTGCCTGCCACCTTCAATGATTTTTATATATATAAAAGCAAATCGCTCTGCTCCCAGAACACATTTAGAATTGTACCCCTTTATTTCACATTGACTCTCTGCATTTTTTCTACTGAAATGGATCATTTCATACTTCTCCACATTAATTTTATTTTGTCACTTGTCTACCCAATATCTCAACTTGCGTCCTTTCAAAGTTCTTCACTATCCTCATGGTTCACACTAATTTTGCCATCATCTGCAAATTTTGATATTGTGTCCTGTACACCCAGGTCTAGATCATTAATATTAAGCAAGAGCAGCTTGAGTCCCAACACTGATCCTCTGGAGAACACAACTATAAATCTTCCTCCTACGTGATAAACATTCTTTCACCGCAACTCTTAATTTGCCCCTCAGCACTTGAGCTGAAGTGAATCTGTCGTATAAACCCACCTTTCACCATGGTTTATTGCATAATGAGCAGGAATTTCCAATGGAAGCAAAACCTTTGAAGAGTCAAATCTACTTACTGGTCTCATACATGTGTTATTCATAGATTTAAACTTCCGTCCAGCTACACCTTAAAGCTGAATTCCAAATGAAATGAAACTCCACATTTTTCTTGCTTTTTATACTTCATTGGTCTCTCCCATTAGACTCAGTCTGGCCTATTTCTTCTACTTCACGTGTTCAATACAAGTTACTGGCTAACCTTATTACAGCTTTTACCACACTGAATTATATTTCAATTCAGCATTCATCACCACTGATTTTTTTTTTGTAGGAATTCTGAAGGATGTTAAAATGTTTCTTTGCATTTCTGGATAAAGGCATCGAATCCTGGAAATATACAGGAAAGGATTTGGCCATCATGCAATCAGATGAGCTCAGCACAAACATTGAAAACTAAAGGTTGATTTACAACGAATATTTTTAAAAACACAAATGAGTAACCTGAAGTGAAAATCATACACTATTGTTTGCAGTACTCACACTTTCAGGTATTGTGGGCAGTCCACTTGTATCAGGGGTAATGAAGTATGAACGCTGTGTGAAAAGATAAATGGTATTAGCCAAGCTTGATCCACACACAACACAACAAAGGAAAAAAAAATCCGAAAATGATTCAAAATATATCTTATTATCAGTAACTAGTGCCACTCAGCAACATGATAAAGAGATGAAAATTTAAAACTAAAATGGAAAAAGGACAAAAGACAAATACAGGCATGAACATCAATAATTCCATTGAAAATTTACAGAAAATAGCGTGAATAAATTTGGAGAATAATAGTTGCATATCAACAGCCCAAAACAGCCCAGTAGCCAAGAATAAGAGATATTAAACAAAAGTTTTTGATGAAGCTTCATTAATTTTCTACTATACATGTTCAGATAACACTAACTGGACTTTTATTGTGAAAAATGTGAATGACATACCAAAGACAAGGGACACAGGGTACAAAGGTTTAGGACTGGTCGAAAGACTGAAACGGGACAATCCGACAATAGGATATTCGTGACAATGACAATGATTCATCGCGCACGTTGGATATGTTTTTACTGACTCTGAATAGAACTGTAGGTGGAGCAAACTTATGTAGACATTGAGTTCCTATACTAACATGCAGCATTTCATATAATACTGACAACCTTCTGGACTCTCTGAAAGGTGAAGTGATGATGAGGGAGTGGCGGCGGGGGGGTGGAAACTGAAACTGATTGTGTTCAGCACTCCAACTGACCAAATAGGTAAAAAGCATCACTAGGTGAAGGACTTGCCCTTGTACCTTAAAGGATTTCAGATTTAATTCCCAGAGAGAGTGAGGTAATCACTACCAAATTGTGTGTCACCACTCAGCCAGGCACCTCCAATACCAAAACGAAAATAGTAAAAGAAAATCTTCCCGTCATCTAAACTTTTCAATATACATTTTGCTTTCGGGTTGAGGTGGGATACTGACCAGACGAAAGAGAATGCTTGCAGTTGGGGAATGGCCACTGACAAGTGTCTCTCAGGGTGCTGCAGAGCTACAGCCCAGCAAGAAGCAACATTTCATAAAATAAGGGAGGGAGGGACCCCTGCAGGCACGCTCAACAATGCACTTTGAAAACAACTACTTTATCAAAATCCTGCAAAGTGTAGGAAAATGGGAAGAAATTATGATCTAGAAGGTACATGAAGTCCTAATGTTCTCTCCTTCAGGCACTGAAGGAGTTCGGAGTTGCTTAATGATTAAAATGGCAAGTGGCTCTTTTGGATCATACTAGCCTGCAAGGTTTCATCTAGCATTTGGCAGAAAACGTGTTTGGGCTTGTGAGTTGCATATGTTTCTATTTTCTGACTTATAATACCCTACCCCATGGCATTCTAACATCAGTGAAATTGTGAGAAACTTCACTAAAGGCATGCAAACTGCACAGCAAATATGCTCTATTAAACGTTTCTCCCTTTGGTCATTAGTGATGTATATATTTTTGTCAGTTGCACATCTTAAAATAACAAATTCATAAAAGCAATTCTCCCATTGTATCATAACAATGGCTTCCCAGGTCAGAGTAAATCTCTCAAAATCTAGATTGGAAATAAAATTGCAGGTTCTGAAAAGCTGACAAACAAAAGCGCACACTGTTCATTTTGAGTTCCTTGGTAAACATCTCACCTCTGGCTTCAGATCTGATAGTTTAATTTGAACACCTAAATCATTTCCAGTCAGTGCCACTGCTTCTAGATTATACGCTGTCATGTACCACAAATATTCAATTGATACAATACAATAAGGCAATAAACAAATATGAATAATTGTTTGTACATAGCTTGTTATATGTAGAAAAGATGAAAAATAGGAAAAGAATTTAGAAAACTGACCACCACCCTATAATAAATCATTTGGTACACAGGATTCTGATTACAAGTCAAGCACCAATGCCAAAGGAAGGAATATTGCAAGTGATTGTATTTCTTTGTTAATCAATTCACCAATTGGAAATATTTCCTTCTCAGTATTCCATGCTTCCAATTTTGGATAACAGTCAATTAAGAAAAATAATAACCAGATCAGCAGTGTGTATTTGAAAATTAAAGTTTATACTTTTTTTTTCCCCACATTGCAATTAGCCATTATCAAAAGAGTTCTCCAACAAACCAAATGACATCCACACATATTAAGGCTTCAGGAAAATTCCCAATTGGTTACACATGATCAAAGAATATCTTAATAAGGGCAATCCTAAGGCAAGAACACCACTTGCTTAATTTAGTATTTCCTGGTAAGCAATCATTTCAGAAGGCAGAACATGATGGCAGCTTTGCAGAAATGTTATCATAAATCAAGTCTCCATTCAATGACATGCACTGAAATTAAGTTCTATAGGGCAAGGCATATTATTTGATAAGAATTAACAAAGGACACTCATTGCTACCCAAAGATTGATGGAGGCTTCTGTTAGATAGGTATTTCAACAAGACTCCCAAGTTTTAAACTCACCAAACCCCGTTTTGGCATGTTTTTCAGCTGTCCACTTCTAATGCATATCTGTTGATTCTTTTATATATAGAAAAAAAGTTCAACGTTTTTCACATTTGATGAACTGGCAAAGTTAATTTTCAAGTGCAACTCTGCTACAAATTTCTAATGAAAAGCGACTTAGTACTATCAAGACATGCATAAGTCTCTATCTCTCTCAATCTCTATATGATGCATATCTGTTGCATATATTTAAGGCATTTATGATTTGTGTTTCTCATTCCCGGATCCATCCAGACTCAGAACTACACCATTGTTTCTTCACTAGTTGGGTCGAAATCCTGGAACTCACTATCAAATGGCACTTCCGATGTACTTACACCACATGAACTGCTTAAAAAGGTGGCTCACCAATACCTTTCCAGGAGTAAATGAAGATTGGAAACAAGTGCTGTCTTAGCCAGTGATGCCCACAACCCAGGAACGAATAAAAAGAAATACAAGTTTTCTTAATCATCATACTTAAAAGTTTCTGTAGTATGCACAAGAGATAATAAGGCCAAGACACCAAGAAGGTCATCAGCTTTTTTGTTTGCTGACTGCACAACTGCTAAATAACTGGTTAGATCCATATGTTTCAATGCCAATAAAACACGTTTTGAGAAACAGATGAAGATTGGAGAAAATCAACTCCACACTTTCTAACCTACTCTTGGTCAGTTGCAACAAATATTTTCATTTTCCTCTTCACACGCAGCTTTCAAACTTTATTTAAAATTTAATAAACTAGACCCAGATGACAGAGCCAATTCTTAGGTTTGCTGGAGTGAAAGAAAGAGCATTCTATGACCTAATAACTCCACCCCCTAAAAAGTAACATCAACTGCACACATCAACATGGATAATGACTTTAAAAAGAAGCAGTGGGGTAGAAAGGGTATAAATGACAGCTGAAATTTAGAAGTTCTTAGGTTCCTGAAGTTGAGGATATGAAACCTGAGTCGACAACTTTAAAGAACAAAGAAGAAAGAAGAAAGAAAATCACAGCACAGGAACAGGCCCTTTGGCCCTCCAAGCCTGCACCGACATGCTGCCTGTCACAACTAACACCCGCTACCCTTCCAGGGACTGTATGTATTTGTCAAGACGCCCTTTAAAAGATGCTGTTGTTTTGTTCCCTCAGCGGTGGTGAAACTTGAAGAGATCTTGAGTTGTCGGAGAACATTCATTTCCCCAAGTTGCCTACCCACCATATCCATCTAAGAGACGGTAATATACACGAGGGTTTGTGACAGACACAGCAAGTGAGAGAGACAGAGAGAGCAGGAGTGAGAATGACAGAGAGAGAGACTTCCAGATTCTGTTCTGATGAATCTATTTCTCCTTCTCTCACTGCTCTACAAAGAAAGCTACTGAAATACAGTTTAATTGACTAACTTCACTGTTTTTTTAAGCTGAATACTCTGCATACAATCTTTCATCTTCCAAGACGTGAGTGAATCATCCCAGTGTGAATTACACAAGGAATGTGAATTACACAAGGAGTGTGAATTACACAAGGAATGTGAATTTATTGATGCTGACTTAGTTGTCTGGTTTCACTGTCTTTGGATGAAATTATATTTTCAGCGCAACCAGTTTAGTGTATTCCATTACAGTTCCCTAGATTTGCCCCAGTTACTGGTCAGCTGATTAGACTTTACATCCATGTGTCTTCCTTAGTAAAAACCAATTCAGGCCACTAAAAGTCTTGGGTACAGCAATCAGATGATAGAAGTTAAAATTTATGTATCACCATCATTGGAAGTTTGAAATGTTCAAATTCTATGTAACAAGGAAATATCAAATGGCTTATCTACTCAGAGCCCCGTAATTAAAATAAGAAGAGATAATTCAACTGTGATTTATCATAATCAGTGAGACAATGAAAGGTTTCATGTGAACTAGGTTGGTAAACTGGGAGGTCCTTTTTCAGCCTAAGTCATACCAACCACTGTTCAACCACATTACATTTAAAAGTCTGCGTCTAGAGCGACAGCTCAGATAATAAATTGGATTTGGAGGCCCTAAGCAAAAGATTGGATTGGGGGAAGCAATCTCAACTGAGGTTCCACATTCTAGATCTTCATGAAAGATAACGATTTTGATATACAAAAGAAACAGATTAATTTTCCATTCTTGCTATCAATGACCATTGCTAGAAAGCCCTAAATTGGCTGAAGAGTTCTGAACTCCTCATTAACCTTCACTTCGACTTCTCAAATGAAAAAAAATCAGAACTCCAGATCAGATAAGATCCTGGAAAACTATTGGCACTCTCTTGACTGAAACTGTATTACAGGAGGAATCACTGAGATAGCAATAACTGCCGATGCTGGAGTCTGAGATAACAAAGTGTGGAGCTGAAGGAACACAGCAGGCCAGGCAGCATCAGAGGAGCAGGAAAGCTGACATTTCGGATCGGGATCCTTCTTCAGAAATCTCTGACGTATCTGAAGAAGGGTCCTTACCCGAAACGTCAGTTTTCCTGTTCCTCTGATGCTACCTGGCCTGCTGTGTTCCTCCAGCTCCACATTTTGTTATCTCTTATTACAGGAGGAATCTGCAACTTTAGGAGAGAAGAGACAAAATTACAAGTAAGAGGAAGTAAATGAGACAAAAAAAAAATGCAATGCAATTTAAATGAGTGAAAATTGATGAAAATAAATTTTAGAACGGTGCAAATTTGGTCACTTTAGCTATAAAAAAAGATTACGTTTGGCAAACTTGACTTATCTTTAACAAATCTGTCCTTGATCAAACACAGCTTTATGAATGCCTAACAAGTTTGTCATGAAAATAACGGACAGGTGACTCTCATGTTCCAAAGCTGTCAGATGTCTCTGATTTATTCTCTCATTCATGAATTCACCTGTAGTTAGCCAATAGGTGTAACTTATTAACTTTTGAACACTTTTAAGTTGTAGAGAGCCAAATTATGCATTTTATTTGGCAAAAATGTGTCTATTCATCACAAAATTTGATTCAAGCTTATTTTTCTATCTCAAATCCCACATATCGCTTAGGTTTTTATTCTTTAAAAAAGAAAGTTTTTTTTTAAACTGTCAAGCTCCTGACTTCCCACTTCATTTCACCATTTGCTCTCCCCTTGTTCACTTTACTCTCTTTGCTCATCTATGAGTCTTGGCCATTCTTTCCATTTCTAAAAATCATGCATCTCTCTTGCATGATTCAATTTCAATTAGCTTCAAACATTTGGTTTCTCCCACATACGTCCCCTCCCCAACTCCACTCAGACCCTTTCTCTCGATACAGATGGATAGATTTTTTTTAAATTGTGCCAGTACTGCCAAGTTTCCAAGGTGCTATTCTGATGAAACCAGTTACAAGGCCGCTGTGAAACTGCTGAGACTTGTGTAACTAGTGGCCTGGAAAAGCAACAAAAACTGGGGTTTCCCAGCAATGAAATCTGGTGTCCATGCATGCCAATCAGTGTGCCAACACCATTGCCAGCATTGACCGCTAGTTTCAGAAGTTGTTGTGCACAGACCTCAAATGATCCCCACACTAAGGTGACAAACTGAGAAGGAACAAGGGTAGTATCCCACAGGGCAATGTGTTAAGGCCTCATTTATTTATTACTGTTTATTAATGTCTTAGGGTATCCAACAGAGAGCCCCATATCTCAAATGGATTGATGACAAAAAGCGTTGTAACAAAGTAGATGGAAGCATAATATTACAAGGAGATATTAATTGCTTAAGTGAGTGACCAAATGAAGTTTCATATCAGCACGTCAGAGGTCATCCACACCACACACAGAAGAATTGGAAAAAATGCAAAGCAGTGAAAATCCAAAGCAGCTTAGGGATCCCAGTATATGGATCACAAAGAGTTAAAGACAGGTCAAGGAAATTAACAAAATGGTTAGAACATAACCCAATTGTGTCCGTTCTGAGCACCAAAGCACAGCTTAAAATGGATATAGTGGACTTGGAGGGAGTGCACGTTTACCAAAATAATACCTGGACTTTAAGGGTTAAATCACGAGGAAAGATAACACATGTTAGGACTGTATTCCGTGTAATGCAGATAGTTCAGGTGAATTGACAAAAATATTCAAATTTGCATGAAGACCCAATAAGGAACAGAGAACAGTATTTCTGCTGGTGTTGGAATGCTGGACTGAAAGTATAATCTCATTATTAGAGTTTGCAGAGAGTTTAGGAATGATCATATTGCAAAAAAATGGCAGAAGTTTGAAATGCTCTTCTGGTGATTAATGCTAGACAATTTGCTAGTTTTGAACCAGAGATGGAGAGACCTTTGTGAGCCAAAAATGTTGATGGAATATGGGGCCAACAACTAACATGGAATTAGGTTAGAGTCATCACAGGTTTCATTAAATGATACATTCTTACATTTCAAATTTTTGTTAGATTATGTAACTGTGAAGGCTCTTGAGACAAGTTACTACGTTAAAAGGCACAAGGTGATATTATAACACAGGTATTAAGGGCATTTGAATGTAGATCAAAATTTTTACCTTTATCATGAAGTATGCTAAGTTCTGTAACATCACCATTCCTCTCTTTCCACAGATGCATATTTTCTTGAACTGTTTCCAGTATTTTGCTATTATTTCAAGCCTCCAGCATCTTTAATAACTCGCCCTTTCTCACCACTAATTTTCTTTCTTATCCTTCAACTTTGCACTTCCGTTTGACTCTGCAACACTGTTAAGGTCAATGATGTTGCAGTGTTGAGGAATAGTTTGGGGAGCTAAGATCTTTTAATGCGCTTTTAATACAGGACAGACAGTGAGAAGGAGAAGCCCATTAAAACTGTTGCAGTACAGAGAAGGTGAAAGAAGGTGGATCTTCAGAAGCACAAAGGGTAGAGGAAAGGAGGACAGTAACCCAGTGAATGCAAAACAGCCAAGCATCTCTGAAACTCAAAATCCACTGTATGGTAGCTCAGTGGTTAGCACTGTTACCTCACAGCACCAGGGACCAGGATTCAATTCCACCCTCAGGCAAATGTGTGAGTAGAGTTTGCACATTCTCCTTGTGTCTGCG